GAAATGGTCAGTTGCGATGCGAGAAAATCGCTCGTTACGCACGATGTCAATTCAAAAATTCCTGTTAACTCTCCTAGAACGTCTTGCAAATAAAGAATTTACATCAACGGCTAACGTCGACTTTTACGCAGTGCTGGTATCGTCGCATAACTCTCTTAAGCACAAAAATAAATAGCAAGTGATCCTTACATTTAGCTAATCTACGGCGAGTTTAAAGTTTTAGTATTTGGCGGTGCCATGCCCATTCCTATATTAACGTTTGCTTATGCTCACAGTAAGAAGTCATTAAGGCGGAAATTTGTTCAGACTTGATTTAACTGTATTCATGGGTTAAAGTAATCGGCACAGATATTCATTTTGCTCTGAGTGAATAATTCTAAGTCGGCTTACATAAACTACATTAAAACATTTTATTATGCTCTCTTCATTAAGTTATTTTACTGTTGTTTAGTTGACAGGGAATATGTTAAAACGGCTGCAGAAATGCATCGAATGGAAGCCACCGGAACCAGAAGGGCGTATTCACGCACTCATTAATTCAGCAACGTCCCTCACAAACTCTGGAACCTCCGGTCTAAATCGATTACCCCGCAAGCCAGTCCCCTTGTTTGCTTACGCTGGTAATGTTGACGTAAACGCCTGCTCAGCAAACGCACTCAACGGCTGCAATCACCTCGAGGGGGCTTGTGCAGGACATTCACTATCACCTGGACTTCACTCCTCCTTCAACGGAATTGAGAGTCCACCGGTGAATGTTACCTTCGCTGAAGGTTGCGGCTGCAATGGAATCGGCAATAGCGGTTTCTTATCAACGCGCCTTGTTCGTTGGCTGCGGAAGCAGATATTTGTTTTGGGGAGGAACGAAGATCAACACTCGACTGCTTCGCACATTTTTATACACTAGTTTGGACAACATGTATTTCCATGCATACTACGGGAAAATAGTATATTTCGGTCTATAATTTGCCCTACGATAGGCAGAAATTTAATGTCTTCTGACCTACTGAATCCCTTCTCTGTTTTGTCAGTGGGTTTTCAGGCGTCCAGTAGACTGAAGAAATTAAGTTCCTATCTGTTGTTTTCCTATGGTTTTGTTTTCGCCAGACTGCAATTACTGAAGACAGTCATTCAAAACTACAGTATATTTTAAAAAAATATAAATAACCAACGCAACATATATGTTGAGTGATGAATCTTGAAGGTGCCAGCCCTGCAAATTGTACGATAAAGAAAACAAGAATTAACAACGGTGAAATCGTGAGCGTCTGCGAGGCGATTGCCGGTATTGCCAGTTTGACGTGTCCAGTATCATTAAGCAGGAATATCATGGGGATTTCTTTTTTGAGTTAAATTATGAACTTAGCAATTTCTTCAAACGTTTAGCAGTTAAGTGAAGATTGACATGGCGAGTGGCTTGTATTTCTAATTTTGAATATTTGCGGTGTTATTGGACATCGTAGGGTCGAGCCCGGTGTATTTTGATTAGCGACACCTCGTTGTGAACTCTCAGCATGCAATCAAGTTATTCTTTGGTTTATATTACTAAATCGCTAATTCCAGAGCCACAAATGACCATCAGAAATCAGCAGACTTAGTTTTTGTATGTTTTATATTCTATGAGGTACTTAGAGGATGCGCTATTATTGGTCCATTCCGGACAATCCTATCTGCTCTGGGTCAGAAAAAAACAGCAATGCTTTGCGCTACCTTGCGTCATTTGAAAATATTCTCTAGCGTTTCGGCAAGCCGCAGTTTTGCAAGGAAGCTCTTAGCCTCTAGACAGATGCTTATTCTTGACATTTTTATTTATAAAGTCGAGGTGCTTCTGTTCTCACTGAAGATTATAAATTCGGTGTTAGCAAACGAAACCATTCCCGACTTTCCCCACCAAAGTTTACATTAGTGACATTTATTTTTCCATATATGGTTGATGAATATAATCTAACTCTGTCAGAATATTCTGATTTATGGATTTTCTTGAAAACTTATCCATCAAATTCAAGGTAAAATTTTTTTACCATCTAGATTTCATCGTGCTAAAGATCTAAATTACACCGTCGTTATACGGAAAAATAACATTGACTGTTTTAACCCTCAAAATAGATAAATGATCAAGATAACGCTGATTCGCAGAAGCACATCTAAGCGATAACTAAAAAGCACGCACGCCACTCCTCATCAAAGGCGGAAACAAACAAATGTTCAGTTACTTCACTTGGATTCATTCTGTACTTAGCATTTGTTCGCGTAAGACGTCTAATTGTAAACTAAGTAGATATTCAATGTGACGACGAACACTATGTCAAATTCGGATGATTTTCGTCGAAACAACCGTCTGAAAACTATCAGAGATGCACTGTTTAAATGTCGATAGAAATACGCAAAGACCAGCTGGCTCATGGTTTTGAAATGATATTTTATGATAATTTGATATACGCTAGACTAAGTCTCAAATTATAATTTATATAAGTGTATATTTAGTTGGGTCGAATTCTCCCTTTTGTTTATTAGGTCCCGTTAGGTTCTGTTATTTGCGCATACATTTCTGTTCTCAAATACTCAGTTTGATGGGACCAATTATTATCGAAAAACATTGTAAAAAATATCAAAATAATGGTGGTTTATAAATATGCTAAATTAGTCAACGTCGCACGCCTTCAAAAAAGTAGCATTTCTTCGGGCTGAAAACTCGAAGACTGTTTGTTTTTATGCAAAATTCAGAGGCGTTATATTTCTGTGCATGTCTTTATAAAGCATGTTTGATCTTTTAGTGTCATTGAAGGCAGGCAATTCTACAATATAAAACTAGACATTCGTATTTGGCGTGAGATTTTCATACGACCAGAATGATGCGGATTTCCAAGCCAGCATCGTAACGCGCCTGAATTATATTGAGATTATTCCACAAATTGGGTGGTATACCAGTCGAACCTATAGTCCGTGATCTAACAGATCAAAGGCGTGGAAAGTTGTTAATACTTGCTAATCACTCGCGAAGATACGAATGTGCAGATCCAATGTATGCTAATAAAGAACAAGGTTAAGGGGATTGAAAACATAAAAAATATTAATGGTAATATTACGTCGTACAGAAGTTCACATTTTTTGAAAAAAAGGGGAAAGTTTAAGAATCCAAAAGAAACTCGTTCAAATCCTACCATCCTTGCATGAATAAAGTGTCCTTGAGTTACACTGCACTAGATTTAATAGAATGACTAGTTTACTAGTCTTTTTCAGTCGTCAGTACACCACGGAATTTCTGTGAATAGTTCGCGAGATAGTACATCCAGCCTTGAGTTCTGAGATCGAACTGAACTGCTAGATGATTTAGTGACAAGAAGCCATCTTGATAAGTAAGGTAAAATGTGCATGGCGTTCAAAAATTATGACTTTACAATGAATTTAAAGCGGATTCACGCTTTTTCTGATAATTGTTCAAGGACCTAAACCGACCGTTATGCAGGGATGAGCAGTCGATAGTATAGAAGTAGCACCGATGAATACAATATACATTGGGAAAGAATGAGAACTGCTCGACTGACCTATGCTTCTGTATTGTTTTGGAAATGAAAAAGCATATTTCTTGTTCAAAAGTCAGTGCCATTGTTCGTTCAGGAAGTTTCTTATGCTGATACCTTTCAGCGTGCCAGATGCACACTTTTTCGTTTTTCTTGAGTAAAGATGGCAAGGCAGATGAGCAAGTCTCATCAAGTCAAAGTTCACCAAATTGATGCTGCTGTTCGCGTATCTTAGGTCTGTCACAAAGCTAATAAGACGGTTATTTTCATAACAACAGAGGCTTTACTTTTTCAATATTGTTACTTTGTAAAGGTAAACGTGCATGCCGTAAAAGAGAACACTAATAGCAAAAGGAAATATTCTGCCTTGTTTCACCCGTAATTTTCAGGCGTGCACAAATTTTTCACAAGTAACCGTTGTAGGCCATTCCACCAAATGGTCGTCTGAACTTCTGTGCACACAGTAAAAAACTTATGCACTTTTTGACATAAGTCAGTATGAAAACTGGAAGAAGATGTCGGTCAGGATGAGTCGGTGTTCTGCGCAGGTTCGGAGGAGGAGCAGACCATTGTCGTTGGAGCCGTTGAGACCATGGCAACTCAGCACTACTCTACAGTCAACATGGTCTGTGCCAACGCGGACATTGGAGTCACCAAGGACAATCATCTTATCCGCCTTCGAAACAGTCGCCAGGAAGACGTTCAGGTTCACCTGGGATGTGTATCTTGCGGCATCGGGACTGGTCATCGGACCAGCGTAGACGCTGACGGTGGTGGCTAATTTGCCTTCCCAAAGAAGCAGGCGGAGGCTCATCTGGCGATCGTTAATGCTCTGTGGCAGACAGGGCAGTCATGCCATGATGCCGCTTCAGATAGCAAAGGCGACACCCGCGAGCCGTCATTCAGTCCTGGGGCCGACCGCTCCAAAAGAAGGTGTAACCGGCACCTACCTCCTCTATTTTGCCTTGTTCGGAGAATCGGGTCTCACTGAGTGCAGCGATGTTCACCTTGTAGCTCGCCATTTGCCGAGCCACTAGCGCCGTCCTCCATTCCGGTCGGTTGCTCCTCGGATTGTCTAAAAGAGAACGAACATTCCAGGCTGCCAGAGTGAGCGGACTCACCCTAGCAGTCCGGCGAGCTGGGTGGCGGAGAGGAGGAGGAGGATAGGGAGTTGTTTCTGTTTAGACCGTGAGTTT